GCCTGTAAGCTGACCTGCGAAGGAGGATGGGCCGCTGCCCCTGTGTCCGGAGCGGCAGTGGTGGCCCCGCAGCGAGGGATCCCTGATGGCCACCGGGCAGTGAGCACCGCTGGGCAGGCAGAGCGAGGCCGTGGCCCCCCTCACCCCCCCATGGCTGCTCCCGAGCCCCCCAGCCAACGTGGCGGAGCGTGAAATGGAGACATGGGAAGGTAAAGGCACGGGGGGGCCGGGGCAGCTCTTGCGGAGAGCTTTGGGGAGGGGGCAGCTGGACGCGCGGTGGCCTCCACGTTGGATGCTCCCGAGGCTGGGAAAAGGGCTTGTCTATTGTTTCTCGGCCCGAGCACTTCCCAGATGGCCTTTAGAGTGGGGGGGGGGTGGCGGGGTTATGATTTCTCCTCTCTTTCGTTTGTGGCCAGTCCCTCTGCCCAGTTTGACAGTTTGCAGAGAGTTGCCTTTAGTTCAGCTTTTGTTTCTTGGACAACCTACGAGGGGGTCCCCTCCTTTAGGCTCGCCCGAGCCCAGGGGTCCGCACCCCCTCCCCCCCGGTCTGTATGTATGTGCCAACAGACGCAGGTTGGCAAACTCCAAGAAACTGCAGGACTTGGAGAAACAGGAGCAAACCCTGGGGCAGGAGTTGTTTCCCTCCCTGGTTCGGGACCCTGAGGAGGAGGAGGAGGGGGTGGCATTAATTGCTTTTGTTTGTGCCTGGACCCTGCTGGAGGTTTCCGGCTGCCTCGGAGCTTCTTCGGGCCTCTCTCCCCCCTTTCTCCCCCCCCCCCCCGCTTTGCTTTCTTCTTTCCCCCTGCTGCAAAACTAGGGCCTCCCCCCATTTCGTCTCTGGGCGACTCACTCGTTTCTTGCTCTGCCTCCAGCCCTGCTGGCAGTGAAAGGGAGGGAAAGGGAACCCTTTCCCAAATGGGCCCAAATAAGGGTGGGCGCTTCGCCCACCCCCATGCCCGAGATCAAAGGGCCAAGCTCCAAAGCCAGCCAAACTCTTCCCAGAGAGAGGAGGACGGCTGGGGGAATGACTCGCGAGTGTGAACTTTTGGAAGTCGCTCGAGGTGTGTGGTTTTGCTCCGGGATGGGAGCAGCAATGAGCTACCCAGGGAGGGCCGGGCTGGAGGGGTTGCAAACAAGGCAGGGCAAGCCACAGAGGTTCCCCCCCCGCCTGTGGGCTGAGGCTTTGGGGCAGAGGCCCCCCAAAACAGCCCTCCTGCAAACCTCTGCAGAGTCAGCGCCCATCAGCTCCCTTCCACCCTAAAGCCTCCCCGGCTGCGCCTTCTGCTTGAGATTTGAGGCTCCCTCTGCCAATCCATGGAGGCCTTGTTTTGGTGCCCAGGGGGTTAATGCTCCGTGGGCTCTCTCCTTTGCTGGAGGGCTGGCCCCAGTGCAAGCGGCCTCAGTGCGGCTTTTCAGCCTTGTCATTCACCAAGCAGGAAGCCTCGAATGTGTGTGTGTGTGTGTGTGTGTCTTAAGCTCCTCTTCCCCCCCTCCTTCCCCCTCCTCCAGGACGAGGACTGGGGCCCAGATCCCCAAGGGACTTGCTGGACCACGGGGCTGGCGAAAGGGAAAAGAAGGTCTCCCATGCAGCCCCACATAAAGTGGGGTGCATGCCCCTCGGTCCAGCTGGCCTTCCTCATCTTAGAACAGCTTGGTCAGACTTCTCCTCCCATCATTCCCAGCCCACGTGGCCTGGCAGGGATGCCATTGGGGAGCTGGGGGGGGAGAAGCGTTTCCCATGGGAGCACGTGGCAGTCGGCTTTAACCGGCTTGGCTGATTGACTTCCCAAAGGTTGCTCGGTAATAGTTTCATAAGGAAGCATTTTATCTTTGGTGTTTCTAAACAACAACAAGAAGTTTCCAAAACACTTTGCGAGAAGAGGCCTTTCAGGAAGGGTCCTTCCTTCCTCCCTCCCTCCCTGAACAGCTCTCCAAGTCTGATCCTTCTTTAAAGCAAAATGCACATGCCACCCACTCCTTTAACAACTGTGGGTAGCTTGCATGGTGTAGCACCAACATGGTTAGCGCCCCAATAAAATAACCGATATGAAACACGTGTATCTCGAGCCTTTTCCTAAACTGCCGTCACGGAGAAAACGTGCTTTAACAGCACGGGTCATTTTTTCCCAGCGCAGATGTCTTCCCCGCCCTGTTCGTTGCAGTTCAGCGCATCCACGGTGGGACCCATAACGTTGCCTCGACGAATCATGGAAGAGCGAGGCGTGGGCGTTATGGGAGACGGTGGAGAAATCTGGTTTCATCAAAGGGCGAGGGTTGTCTGTGGGCAGAAACCATGGGATGTCTCCGAGGACTACAGGTGTACCTTGGCTGCTCCCCTCTAAATTCCTTCTCTGCCCCCCTCTCTGCCCCCATCATCTCAACCCCTACCTCCCCTCTGCTCCTGCGTCCAGAAAATGCAACGCAGTTTTTAACAGCGGGTTTTTAACCCCCCTCTGATGAAAATCATTTGTAGGCTTTATGTTTGTGCACGGGCCCTGGCAGTTGTGTTAGGGTGTCCAGCCAAGCGGGCCAAGGCACTTGGCATTTCAGCCCACATCCCTTTAAATATATCCTCAGTCTTGATTTAATTTGGGTTGACCGTGCCAGGAAAAGTGGTAGGCAGTTAGCGCATGCCAAGAAAGGGAGCCATTACCTGGGGCTAAAACTCGCGTAATTTTTCACTGAAGTTTGAACAGTGGAGAAAAGACATTCGAGACCAGTATGTGCTGATTTGCGCGCTCTTGCTCTCTCTCTCTCCCTCATTTATTTATTTATTTATTTTTAAGAACTGAAGGGAAAACTCATACAACTTGTGAGGAAGGTGGAAGGGTTGGCTCTGAGGCTGGAGCTTTGGGTAGTCAAGAGTTAACAGCAGCCCTTTCTTGATGAGGTGTGAAGCAGTAGCTGCTTGGGATGGAGAACGATGCACAGGACCATCCCACAAACCTTTTCCCATCTTGCCAGCCAGTCTTTCTATGTCGCTCGCTCGTCCCCCCAAAAAGCCACTTCCACATCTGAACGTGGGTGAAGGGAGCAGATGCAAAACCCACAGCTGGCCTCTTCTGCGACAGTCCCAAGGCCAGATCATGATCCTTGTGCCATGCCCCTCTGTTCCCATCCTGGTAAAGCAAAATTCATGGATGGGGTGGTGGCCATTTTGTAGCGCATTGTCTGACAATTGAGAAAAGAAAACATGGGGCATTGCTGGGGTTTTCTGAGCTGCTCTGGTTTCTGACCGGGTCCTGCCTGCTGAGACCAGACGAGGTAGCACACTGGATGCTCTCCTTCGGATTCCAGCAAGTTAGAAATCTAGCCTGAACATGTTGCCAGTTCCCATGGAAGCCCTGGGTGGGTGGGAGGGTGTCTTTCCCCCCAGGTTGCTCTGCAGGCCTTTCTCACAAACAGTGCCTCCGTTTGTTGGCCCCTCAAGTCTTGGCCCCTTCAGCATTGGTCTGGTTGGTGCGCTCATCAGGCAAAGGAAACCTGGTCTTGGAATTCACCAGCTGCCCTCACGCTATTTCCAGTGGCAGGCTTTCAGCAAGGGGCATCTGCCTGGCTGCAGCCCCCTCCCCCTCCCCGAGCATGGTCCTTTGGTCCCCCCTTCTTAAACCAACGACATCCTCCCTCTGCCTGGCCAGGATTGGTGGCTTTGATTGGGAGAGAGAGAAGGCAAGAGACTGCTGAAAACTCAAAACCCACCCAGGGAGCCCTGTTAATCTCCTCTTTTCTCCAGTCATCAGATAACTAAAGACCAAGATAATGCCGGGTGCCTGTAAAATCTGTACAGTAACTCTGCTTAAGATAAGATCCTGGGCTGGAGGTGGAGGAGGGGGGCACTTGGCGGAACCTCCCGATCATCTTGATGGTCATCTTGGGCTTTCTCCCACGTTTGTATGCCCCTGCAACAAACATGTTGGCTGAAAATGCCCGTTTGTTGTGGGCTTCTTCTCAGTCCTGGAAAATAAACTTCCCACCACCCCTTTGGCTGAACCAAAGACTCCATTTTAGTTTCCTCGCCCCATTGCAGAGCACAACTTCACCCCGATGGGCCATTGGCAAGCCTCTCCCCGCTGCCTCTGTCCCAAATGGGCCACCTCTTCAGGGGCATTGAAAGCAGCCTTTGGGAATTGGGTTTGGAGTGTCCCAAGCTATATGGAAGAGCTTTGTGGACTTAGCTGGCCATGGGTTCCTGGCAGCCACGGAAGGCCACCAATCCTTGCCCTACACAGCCAGCTTCCCGTGTGAAGCAGGGTTAGCCAAGAATCCAGGATAATGAGGGCGGGGGCTTGGCATGCCAAGTGGCGTGCTTCAGGCACCCGTGCATGCATTGCAGGGCACGTGAGTCGGGTTTTGACATCTCCATCTCAGCCATAATTAGCGCATGCCCACCGGGGCTGGTAGAACCCTGCCTTGGCCTCATTCTGTCCCAGCAAGGATTGGAGAGTTTTGCTTAGTGGAAGGTGACAGCTCTGCTCCTCGGGAGAGGGAGGCACTTTGCCTCCGTGTTCCGCTCAGAGCCACCTTATTAAGTTGGGCGGTGGGGAGCTTGGAGAAGTCCACGGCTGCCAGTTTTGCTTAATTACCCTGCTCATCGAAGACCTCTTGAGATTCCTTCTTCAGCTGAGGTTCTGCTGATGCTTCTCAAAGTTTAAACAAGGAGACAAGTGGCAGGAGCTAACATTCACACCCACCAGGGTTCACACTTCTGGGCAAGGAAGTTGAGGCCCATCCCACTTTCTGCAGTCATGGAAGCTGGCTTGAGTCCAGATGTTTTTGCTCTTCCTAGGCCAAAGCGCACTCTCCCTCTGCTTTGCCAGCCCCCGTCTCACTTCCCCCTCTGAACCTTCAGGATCCCCACTGCATGTGGACCCAAGAACTCCTTCTAAAGTGCCATGCTCTGAGTCCCTCCAGGCCTGGTTGTCGAAAGTCATCCATCCCGTGCTGGTTTGGTCCGTCCTTCCTTCCTTTCTCACGTGGTTGCTGTTGCCTTCCTCCTGCAGATGACCGGGTGGACCAGCGCACCTGTCTGATCTGCGGGGACCGAGCAACGGGCCTGCACTACGGCATCATCTCCTGCGAGGGCTGCAAGGGTTTCTTCAAGCGGAGCATCTGCAACAGACGGGTCTACCGATGCAGCCGTGACAAGAACTGTGTCATGTCCCGCAAGCAGCGTAACCGATGCCAGTACTGCCGGCTCCTCAAGTGCCTCCAAATGGGGATGAATCGGAAAGGTACAAATGAGGCGAGCGCAAGAGGGGTGGGAGGGTGTCTCCTTGGTCCGCGTTGAACCAGCACAACGCCAAGGCGAAGAATCCAGTGCAGAGTCAAGTCCTAGATTAGCTCTGTCTGCTTGGGTACAACGGGAGGCCGTTCCAAGCAGATTCACTCACCTAGAACAGAAGCTGGTGGCCAACTTTCTTAGCTGGGTTTCCATCCCTTCCTGTTTAGGGCATATTTTTCTAATTTTAGAAGGTGCAAGAGTGCAACTGCGGACTTGAGCATAGACCGCTTCTGATGCTCCCCAGTTGGGTTGGGATTTCAACCCCGAGGATCTCCAGCCACACCTCCAGAGGGCTATAGGTTGTGAATGTTCTTCTCCGATCTGTCATCATCTATGGATGAGGGCTTGCCCGGAGATGGAGCAAAAGACAGACCAACAAAATAAAATTCACAATAGCGTGCTTTCCGTGGTGGACCCAACCAAGCCTATAGCTATTTGCTAGCAAGGGGCTAAAATCTGTTCCTCTGTTTCAGGGATGGGGCGAGGTTAAGCGGGGTTCCATTCCTGATCAGCCTTTTCTCTTGTTGCACTGCGGAATTGGCTTGCAGCTTGAACCCCCCTGGTTTGGGATCTTCTACGCTTAGCCACCCCGGAAGCTTGATGAAGCCATGTTTGATGGGGCAGCTATCTGAAAACCAGTGTGCAGTTCTCAGAGCAAAGGAGCTGTTTCTTTAGCTAGCCAGCAAAAACCTAGAAGACAATTGGCATCCTTCAGGCTTTTGAGGTTGCCCACCCTGGTTCCTTCCCTTAGCGTCCAGGGGAAGGGTGGTGGTACATCTTCAGGGTCCTGTTGGTTAGAAGGAAGAAAGAGAGAGAGAGACCTCTTCTGGTATCTAATGAAAAATGCAGGCTAGGACCCCTTGCATGGGAAACAATGCATTTTTGCCTTGGTTTTCCTCCTCCATCATCATTGTCGTCGTCGTCGTCGTCGTCCCAATTCCACCAATGGTGCATCATAGCCAATTTTGGTTTCTTCATGATTCAAGCCATGTCTGAAGGCTTGAGAATTATAATTACGGGTGTCCAGCAGTGGTGCTGTTTGTAGTTGGGCTGTCATTGGTTCCAAATGTAGGCAGCCCAAAATATTTATTTATTTTAGATTTATTATAGCTGCCCGCTGCCATAGGCACGTTCTAAGTTCTTGTGATATTGCACCTAACGCTCCGGTTACACTTGATATCACTGTCAACTTCTTCCAAATTTTTGGGGGAGGGAAATTAAAGGACTTGGAGTTTGGGTTTGTTCCCAAATAGAGTGTGCCATTACAGGCTTATTTTGTGTCCCTGTAATAAATTGGAAGCGTTGGTTTGGGTCAGAACTGGGCATGCTTCATTGGCATAGGTTATGCCAATGAAGACTCCCAGCAGTGCTTTGCTTCCTAGTTCTGGACCCCTCTCCTTTCCTGATGGACCTGAGAAATCCTGATGGGGAACAGGTACTGCCCTCTTTCCAAGTGGCTCACACAGTTTGGAGATGACCAGCTGACACTGGGGCGTTGTGTTCATGAGATTGCTGTCCCAGAAAAGCTTGTTATAGTTCCCCGGCTGCAACAAGAGATCAGGTTCTCCTTTTGCGTTGGATCTGCCTTCGAGCAGGGGATAGTTCTCCTGCCCAACAATGGAGTCTACTTCTGGTCCCCTTGGGAGACTTTTGAAACTCTGTGAACCGCCTGGGGAGGGACCTGGTTGGGAGAAGATCAGGGAAGGGTAGAGCCTCAGTCCAAAGGGAGATCCTGTGGATAGATGAGTCATCAACGCTGAGAGGTGGAATTCTCCCTTCAGGATCAGTTTGGCTCAGATTTAGCTGTCCTGTTGGAGATCTGTGTGTCTTGGGCAGTTGGAGAGAGAGAGAGAGGTTGACCATGGTTTACCCCTACCTGAGCAACCTTCTCTTTCTCCTGCTACGGTGGAAGTTACATGACTTTAGAGAAGCTTCAGAAGCTGCTGTCTAGGTTCTGGACAGGGCCTTCAGGCCATCACTCCTCACTTCAGAAATGGGCTGTTTTTTTGCCTGCATCTGGTTGGCACCTGGGTCTTTACTTTCCATCTGCTTTGGACAACCTGAAGAGCGGGAACCGAAAGTTTTCCGAGAGGGGCGGCAGCTGGTCTGGTGTGTGGCCACCAGAGGGAGCCTGAAGGTCTATGCCCAGCGGTGGCCCAGGAATGCAACGGGAGTCTCTGGAAACCTTCTCATGTTCCATGGCTGCAGTCCTGCCTAAACAAACAAACAAACAAACAGAAGTCAGCCAACTCTTTCCCCCCACAACCCCCAACATAGGGCCCTCCATTTTCCCTGGACAGCAGGGCTGTTGGACAGCTGTTGTCTAGGAGGAGGAGGTTGAGCTGTGCAGATCCGGCTCTCTGCTGATCAGGTTTGGCCAGGAGTTGGTGGACTTCTCTTCCTTCTCCTTCCCATCTGCTCTCTGCACATCCTTGCCTGCCTGCATCCTCCCCCCTCTGCCCTTTCCCTTCTCATGCTTCAGGCAGGCTCTACCTTCAAATCGAACTGGCAGGGCCTCTTGCTTTTCCCTTTCCCCTGTTCCCTGGTTGCATAGAACCTCTCCAGTGGAGAAAGGGCCAGGCCGTGCTTCCTTCTGGATCCCTGAATCTCACCAGGAGCAATGTGTCTGGTGTAAACTGGTTCCAGCTGAGCTTCTGGGGCAGCTGAGATGTTCCAGAACTGTTGGTTGATTCTGTTGGCGAAAGGGAACAGTGGGGCTCTCAATCCAGAAGGTAGCCCTAGGTGCTCTTCATCGGAGGCCCCTCTTCATTGGAGGAGGAAGGCAGGCATTTGTTCTTGGCACAGCAGCCCTGGGTAACAGGAGGATGGAGAACGCTATCGCCTGAAGAGTCCTAATAAGCACAAATCCGGTTGTGTAGTGCCTCCTACTGGTCAGGAGCTAATATAACATCTACCGCCAAGGGGAGGCGGACTTGAGGCCTCTAGCAGGAGCCCCAGACCAATTTACAAATCCCCCAAAAACTCAACTATGCAAGCATGTAGGAAAAAAGGTAGGCGTACGTGCATAGTTTCTACAGGAAGAGGCCTGTTAGCGGTCGCTGGGGCACCTTGGCAGAGTTCCTGACCTGCTCCTTTTCTTTCCCTTCCAGCCATCCGTGAAGACGGCATGCCTGGAGGCAGGAACAAGAGCATCGGACCTGTCCAGGTGAGTACCCTGCTATCTTTTTCTGGTCTCTGCTGGCCGGGGGTTGGGGGGCGGTGACCCTTGGAGAGCCTCTTGCTAGACACAAGGAGGGTTGAGAGCCGGCAGCCAGAAAGGCCAAATATTGATAGGGTTGAGATTTGTTGAAGAGATTTGGCGGGGGTGGTGGGGTTCCTTTACCAAGCAGCTCCTTCTTGCTAGGTGGGCTTCCCAAGGAAAGAAAATACCCCCGCTGGGGTGCTTTTCCTGCAGTGTCAGAGACACCTTTATCAATACAAAGTGATGTGCCTTTGGAGAATATTTTTCTGGCTGCGCCTTACAACAGCCTGGGGTTCAGCCCACCTCCACCTTTTGGGACCAGAGACCCCCATGTGTCAGCTCAACTGTTCTGGGCTGGCTTTGAAGGCTTGCTGACAACTGTAGAGACCACCTTTCCGCCTCCTCTAAGCCAGCACGAGCCTTCCAGCCCCTGCCAGGCTCTCTGTCCATCTTCCAGCAATCTCAGCACCGTTCCTGGAGTCATTTCTGGCAAGAATGTCCAGTAAACACAGGGATGATGGATGGGCCCGCTTGCCTGGGGACGTCTAGTAAAAGGGGCAGATAATTCAGCCTGATCGCTTCCACCATCCCAATGAGAAATGAGGCCACTTTTTAAAGAGTTGCTTGGAATGGAAGAGGGAGGACCTTTGGCGGTGGGTTTTATTGTAGGATGGCAGCATTGTGCTCAAGGGGCCTTACGGGATGAGGCTTCCCGAGGCATTTGGCCAGGAAAAGGGGCCGCGTCTTTTGCGCTCCTTCCTCCTGGGAGGCAAGAACCAGCTTGCTTCCGTAACATCTGCTCTTCCTGGACAAGGATCCCGAGGGAGTGTTTTCTGTCCCTTCCTTTTTGTAAGAGCAGCATCTTCGATGGAACTTAGTCTGTGCCTTTGGGGTGAGAAGTCGGTACCCTTTTCATGTATCAGGTCAAATGGACCAAGGGTATTTTCTAGTTTTCTGGGTGCATTGAAGGCCTCAGGGCTTGCGCACCACCACGAGAACAGTAAATAGCAAGACCCTCCATCAATAGGCTTTTGGGTGAAAAACATCTGTCAACAACTGTCAGATCGCCAGGAACTAGTTAGAAAATTGGCTTGATAGAACAGGGGAACCTTAAATTCATTGATAGGCACCTTCAGGCTCCATGGGGCAAAACTGAACTCCCCCTTCTGCCCTCTTTGGCTGGTGAGATTGGACATGCTGTGGCTTTCCTCCTGCTGCTGGATTCCTATGTGGCCCCCAGGCAGTGGCTTTTGTGTCTCTACAGCTTGTGGAATGGGCCACGGGTGGGCCAAGCCGTCAGCCCTGACCAGGCGACTGATTTAACTGCCCTCTCCCTTGCTGGTTTTCTTTCCCCGGGGCAGATCTCCGAGGAAGAGATCGAGCGGATCATGTCTGGGCAGGAATTCGAGGGGGAGGCCAACCTCTCCTGGTGCAACAACGGGGACAGCGACAACAGCTCCCCTGGCAATGGGGTGTCCGAAAGCAACCAGCCCTCCCCGGTCTCGACTCCATCTTCAAGGTGGGACTTTGGGGAGGGCAGCCAAGCCTTTGGTGCGGGGGGGAGGAGGAGGCATTAAAGTTGAACAAGGGTCTCCCCCCCCGTCTTCTCAGCCCAGCTTTGCCTCTTCCAGTAGGTCTGTGGAGCTGAACGGATTTACTGTTCTCAGGGATCAATACGTGGGGGCACCGGTGTCAGCCCCCTACCAGTACCTCCCGCACCTTCTAAGCTGCCCAGCTCACACAGCCCTGCTGCCTCCCCAGCCCCGTAGCCTCGACCCCCAGTCCCACGGCCTCCTCATCAGCCAGCTGGTGTCTGCCGAGGACCTGGAGCCCTTGGGCACCCCGATGCTGATTGAAGACGGGTAAGTGATCAGGCTCGCTCCCCCTCCCTTGGCACCACAGTCCTCGGGCAGAGTCGGGACCCCCTGGCACAGCCGGAGTGAGAAGCTGCTGCTTCCCCGCCCTCTGGTTTTAAGCCCAGGAGATGAGATGAAGCCTCTGGGCTGAGACCAAGGTGCTGCCAGGGCCATACTCCCGCCCGGGGGGCTGTGTGGAAAAGTGCTCCCCCTGGGGCGAGTCAGCAGGCTGGCTGTTCCAGGCAGTGAGCTAAAATGGACCCGGGGAGGCCCAGGTGGGGCGGTGGGGGGCCTTTTCCACATGGCCACCTATGTGTCAGCCACCCGGGGGGGTCACGGACTTAGGGGAAGCAGTGACCAGAGCTCTCCCACCCCAACGCCTTTCCTGCTCCCGGCTGCCACAGGTACAGAGTGACCCAGGCCGAGCTGTTTGCCCTGCTCTGTCGGCTGGCGGACGAGCTGCTCTTCCGGCAGATCACCTGGATCAAGAAGCTGCCGTTCTTCTGCGAGCTCTCCATCAAAGACTACACCTGCCTGCTGAGCTCCACCTGGCAGGAGCTGATCCTGCTGTCCTCCCTCACCGTCTACAGCAAGCAGATCTTTGGAGACCTGGCGGACGTGACTGCAAAGTACTCCCCCTCCGACGACGAACTCCACAGGTAAGGGCCCTGGAGGAGGACCCCGAGGGAGGCTTTCAGCTCTGGCAAGGGGTCAGGGGGGGTAGCAAGATCCTTTCAGGCAGCCTAATTCTTCCCTCCGCCATTCCCCTCTAGCGGATTTTGCCAGGACGGGCCTGAGTGGCAAAGGGGAGCCCCAGATGGGGCACCCTCTTAATAGGGCAGGCTAGAAATGTCTCCCAGTCCCCCTCTGGGAGAAACGGGGCACCATGCAGCGCTCCCTTGTCCAGGCAGGAAGACCAGGACCTTTAGTCCCAAGGAGCAACTGATCCAGCATAAGCCCTGTAAATTTGTCACCTTGCCAGAACAGTTTTGTAGAGCGGACCAGTCTCATTAAACCCATATTGGAGTGTGTTGGGGACAGATGCTTTAAACACCAGCCGGACCTCAAACACGCGTCCCTTTATGCACAGGGCAGAGTTGGAGGAGGCCAATTCTTAAATTCCGGCCAGCAGTGCCACTCCAGAGGAAGGGCGCTGCCAGAGGTTTTGCCCCCTTTGCCTCATTTGGGGAATTTCCTACCTTTTGCAGAGCTGGGCCAGGAGGGAGACTTTTCTAAGTTGCTGGGCAGGGCAACTAGCTGGCATTCTGGGGAGGTATCCTTGCCTGCCTGCCTGTCCCCTGCCTGTCCCCGGGCTTTCCGGTGTGAAGGTCTGGATTGTAACCTCAAAGCACCTTTCGCCTACCCCCGCCTGGGTCAGAGGCAAGGGTTGTTTTCTCGGGCATAAATTTGCCCTGTCCGGCGCAACGGCTGACACCAGCTGAGACACACGGCGGGCAGTTGCTCTCCGTGACCCTGGTGCTCATGAATCAGGCCGGGAAGAGGACATCGCAAGGCGGGGATGAGGGAGGTGTGGTGTTTGAAGAGCCACACAGGGTAGATTAAGCCAGGGGTCCCCCTCCGTCCCCAAGTATCTTCTGCGCTCTGAGCCTTTCCAGCTCCATCTGACTGATCAGCCACCTCTGCACTCCCCTTATCAGGCAGCAGATGCTGAGTGCGAATACTTCCTGGCCCAGCTGAGCGTTTCCCTTAATCCGATGAGCCTCCTTCCCTTCCTCTCCTCCTCTGCCCGGGTTCCCCTTCCCCGGGATCAGCTTTGAAAATGTCCCCCTAGTGCAAAACCCAGATAAAGGGAGGCGGTCCCTTTCCAGATGTGAATTCCAACGTTTGTGCCTCCAGCCAGGCACCCTTGAGTTTCCTGGGGTGCTCTGGAGTGTGGGGTTTAACTGCCCCCTCTGCGCACATCTGTCTCGCCTCTCCCACTTTTGCGGTCTTCCTTGGGAATCCTTGACCCGTGTGAGTTTCAACTGCCTTGAAACTCCTACCCTCCCTTTAAATCAAACCTTGTCGGTCCTCTCATCCTTGTTCGCCCGCTGGCGCTCTCCCCCCGCCCAGCTGCATGTTTGCAACGCCGAGCAAAATTTATAGCATCTTTTTCATCTAATCGTTCCCTTATCAGGAGCTGTAGTTAACGCCAGATAGTTGCACCAGCCGCAGATTGGTTCTCTGGGGAATTGGGGGGGCGCTGTAATGAGCGGGGCAGACCTCTGCAGAAGCAGGCCAGTGCAGAAGAGCTGAAGAATCTGGGCTGACCCCGAGATCTTTCCCGTGGTGCTTTTCCCGAGGGCACAGAGAGGGAGCAGGCCTCCTGTTACTGCAGGGCCCAGCGCTCCACGTTGCTTTTCGACCAGGGGCCCGGGGCAGCCTTTGGCTTGGCCAGCCCAACAGCTGTTCAGCACCTTCCAAATTGCTTTCTGCCATGGCTGACCTGGCAGTTCGAACAGCCAGGGTAGTTCAGCCAGCAATTTGGGAAGAAACTTGGGTCCAGTCCTGACTGGAAGGAGCAGTGCTGGCTTTGCAAGGATTTGGAAAAGACATCCTGCTTTGGTCACCAAAGAATAGCTTTTGGCCCAGGGCTGGGTGGCAGGGGAGGAGGGGAGGCCTGGCATCTCCAAAGCCCCAAAAGGAGAATTGTAGATACCCTGCGACTGGTGTGTCTGTGTGTTTGTGGTTCTTCCCCCTTCTTCCCAAGCCATTTCAAGGCTGGTGTACGAATGATTAAGACCACCAGAATTCCCCCTCCTGTATTCTGCTGAATCCTTTGCCAGCCTGTCTCTGGTAGACTGCGTCTTCAGCAGGCAGAGCGTTCTGTAGGTGAGCCCCCAAGCTGATGGAAATCGTGGTCCAGAGTGCCAGAGGGCACCCGGCTGCTTGAAAAGGGTCTCCAAGGGCGCGAAAGGGCCGTTGGCAGAAAGGGCTCTGTCATGGCACTAATGGACTGGCCAACAGGGTGACCTCCTGGGTCTCTTTTCCATGCGTTGATTCCTAGACCTTCTGGTTCAGAGGATCTTGCTGTGAATGACGGGGAAGGATCCTTTTCTGCCTCCGATCCAGGAGGAGATAGTTAAACGGGCCCACAATCTGAGCCCGGGACTTTACAAGGAAATGGTCGCCAACACAGTGGAAGGCAGTTGTGGAAGAAGGATATAGCCATTCGGGTGCTCAGACAAGCCCTCCGCTCTTGGGTCTTCTGCCGCTTGGATCGTCCTCTGTTGATTCCCCAAGACAGGAGCTGCACCCCTAGAAAGCTGATTTGTGCCGTGCTCCGTCCCAGTGTGTCTGGAGAAGGCTGCTGGGGAATCTGGGTGGATGGAGCCTCGTGCTTTGGCAGAGAGACGAGAAGTTCAGGAAGCAAATAACTCGGACTTCCTTTTCTCCTTTCTCTGAAGGTTCAGCGAAGAGGGGATGGAAGTCATGGAAAGACTGATCTACCTGTATCGCAAGTTCGGCCAGTTGAAAGTGAGCAACGAGGAACATGCCTGCATGAAAGCCATTAATTTCCTCAACCAAGGTGAGTGGCCAGGAGGATGAGCCTTCCTCCTTATTACCCAGTAGCTCTGATGGTCCTGTTCTTCTGGTGATCTCATTGTGGTTGGAGAAGGCACGAACCACATGGTCCCGTGGAGGGCAATCGGGCAACCTGGGATCCTCCAGAGATCGCCATCTCCCACCAGCCTCACTCCAGTGGCCCAGTGACAAGGAAAGCTAGGAGTTCCCATTGGCAACTTCTAGAAGATCTCCAGTTTTTTCTGTCCTGAGCCTACAGGAGCTGACTGAAAAGGCCAGTGAAATGGGATCAAGGAAAAAGAGCCCTTAAAAAATAAAACTGGGCCCCCCAACTTCATTGCATCCTTTGTGGGAGACCCGGCAAGGAAGGTACTTTAAGCTGGGCTCACCTTCCAACAGCGAGACAGGCTGTACAACAGGCAAACTCTTATGTAACTGTGATAACCTGTTGGGTGCAGCCCTGAGTTATTGAGATTCAGGAGGTGGGTGGGACACATCCTCTCACTTCCTTTCACTGCTGCTGTCTCCCTTCTGGGAGCCAGTTTGCTTGAAGACGGAACCGGAAGCCTTGAGAGTTTGGATGTTGACTTATGGCCCAGGGTTGGCCTTCTCCGAGAAAATTCTCCGGCTCTCATTGGCCTCGGTTAGGAGGCTCTTAATGTCAAACGACGGAGCCGGCCCTTGGAGCGAAGATCCGATTTTTGCTATCCTTCCTCCTCTGTTCTCCCCTCTTGGGTTGCCTCATATCCAGCTAAGCGGGGAGCAGCTCCGGCTGGGGCTGTTCCTTCCCCGCCTCCTGCTCCTCACGTGCCGTCTTCCCTCCAGACATTCGGGGCCTGACCAATGCCTCCCAGCTGGAGCAGCTGAACAAGCGGTACTGGTACGTCTGCCAGGACTTCATGGAGTTCAAATACCCGCATCAGCCAAACCGGTTTCCAGACCTGATGATGTGTCTGCCAGAGATCCGATACATTGCAGGTGAGCCGCCAGTCCAGCGCGAAGCGAGCAGGGCAGAACCTCCCTGGGCAGTCTCCTGGAAGCCGGGGGGTCTTCCAAAGCTCAGAGTTTTCCAGGCAGCCCAGCTGCTCTCCTGGGATGAGGCTGTGGAGTCCCTAGGCTTGGCTCGCTTCCCCCCAGAGCTTCTGGAGGCCGATAGCGCCAAGAGTCCTAAACCAAGCCCGGGCGTTGCCGTTGCTCCTTCCGCTTGCCCTCGGGTTCTCCGGCTTCCCTTCCCTTCTCCCCTCTCCAGCCGCCTTCCTGGTTAGGAGGCAGGAGACAGGCCTGGGACCCCAAGGCAGGGAGCCGCCACTCACCGCGGGGGTCTTGCCTTGTCAGGAAAAATGGTGAACGTCCCTCTGGAGCAGCTCCCACTCCTGTTTAAGGCCGTCCTGCACTCTTGCAAAGCCTCCCCGAACAAGGAATGAAGCCGGCCGGGAGACCCGAGGCCTCCCCAGCAGAGGAAGGAGCAGCCACCCCGCGATCCGGCCAGCGGGGACGTCTCCCAGCCTCTGGCAGGGCAGTGGGTAGCCTTGCCGGCGTAGCAGGAATCCGTGGGGC